TTCTGATATTTTAGGCAATTATTTCATACATATTTTTTTATATACTACAGTTTTAAATCTAAATTGATCATGTAAGGATAATGGAGATACATTAATATTTGTTTTCAATTTTTAGAATCATTTATTTTAAACTTATTTGGTATGCTAGTTATATAAAATGTGATATATAAATCTTCCAATAATTCTACTGATTCTATAGAAAATTCCTTCAAGACATGTATCAAATCATTTCTCAATATTTTTTTTTCAACGTTTTTTATTTATTTTGGGACAGAGAGAGACAGAGCATGAACGGGGGAGGGGCAGAGAGAGAGGGAGACACAGAATCGGAAACAGGCTCCAGGCTCTGAGCCATCAGCCCAGAGCCTGACGCGGGGCTCGAACTCACGGACCGCGAGATTGTGACCTGGCTGAAGTCGGACGCTTAACCGACTGCGCCACCCAGGCGCCCCATCATTTCTCAATATTTTTGAGGAAATTCTGAGCTAGATGAAGATATTTTCTTTCCTCCATTATCAGCTAAACAATGTTTCCTCCACTTGCCTCATATAGGTATAAGGAAAAATAATTAAATATTTAAACTAAAAATATAAGTGTATGCTTAATACCTTGCTGAATAATTTGGATATTCTGGAGTCACAATAATGTCCATGAAAATAAATTCACATGCAAGTACATTAGCAAGACTACTTTTGTTTTGAATTAGAGTTAGTTGTAAGTCATATTTTTCTTCTGTCTTTGAATCTAAGTCTCTTATTTTACAATATTATGTCTAACTAAACATAAAGGAAGGTTAATATGTTACTGTTTCTTGAACATCTAATATATCCAGGTTCCCTTTTACATACTCAAAGTATACAAATAGTTTCTGTGACCCATGAAATTATATTTTGCTAATGAGACAAAACATATATACATCCATGATGGAGGCAACACCATGAATAAAGACATGAAGGTAAAAATACTTCTAAGCTTAATGTTTCTTAAGCATCTAATGTTTTTGAGAATTACTGAGCTGGTCAGATTAGTAACTTCTTATAAAGGTTTTATTACCAGGCATATTTGCAAATATGAATCTGTGTAAAATGATTTTATGGCATAACATACTGACTTGTACAGATCGCCCTTCACAACAAGTAAAAACAAATGATATCAGCATATTTTTAACATTATTATAAATGATTATTCTTTACTTTCTAAGATATAAGAAGACAAGTAAACACAATGTTTGTATTTAAAAACATGTATGTGTTCTTGCCCGTATATGTCATTCTTTTGTATAAGGATCAGTAAAGCCCTTTTCCCCCTCAAAGAAGGAACATACCATAATTAATCCCTAAGAATGGAAATGACTGATTACAAATTTTAGGAGGTGTTCATAGTCTGCTTTATTGCTTGGTTGTTCTTCCTTCCAGTTTGACCAATGTGAAGTTGCTCAAACTGTGTGTATGTGCATGCGTGTGTAAGTAGTGGAAGAATTATTTCATCTTGACAATAAGTTGAATATTCTTTTTACCTCAAGGTTGTAAATTAAAACTGACAATGAAAAAAAAAAGACTAATAGAAGTTGCTGGGGAAAAACTAGATGCTGGGTCGTCATGATAACAGTATAGTTATGAATGTTGCATTCAAGGAACTTTAAATTTTTTTAAATAAGTAAATCTAAGATGTTTGAGATTGGATTACACTGATAATGTGTGTGTTTTGATACAAAGGTTAAAGACATGGAATTGCTGTACTCTTGCAAGTGCATGAAATAAATAAGAACCTTCTTTCATGAGATTCTACATGTGGAACTCCCTGGGCTGTTTTCAGAATACTTGTGTTTAATACAAAATGCTGCATGTACTCTTTGGTAAAAAGATGAGATTTTATAGCTGAAGAAAAAGAGTAAATAAATAACTGGATTTGAAATGTTGCTAGGATTTCCTGTTCTTTGGTTATGCTGTGTGCAGTAAGATGAAACGTTTCTTCTGTGTACTTTTTGCTGTTTGCAGAAAGATGAACTGCTTGTTTTATGCATTTCCTTTCAGTGTATCTTAATTCAGCACGGAATTGACTAATTTGCTATCATTTCTGTGGGTTTCTGCCATTTATTAAGCCAGGCTTAATATTTAAGGCAGTCTTCAGTGTTCTGTCAGATAACAGTAAAATGCTCCTATTAAAATGTGTTACCAATACTTGGCAGAAGTCAGTAGTATTACCCATTTTAAAACAAGGTTGATTAGAAACTCTTCTTTTAAAAGACCCATTTAGAATCCATGACAAGGTGAAGTGTCTTTATATAAACATACATCACTTGTTTGTGAGTAGCCATTTAGACTATCTGCTTTAAAATGAATTGGATATTTCAGCTCCAATTATATAGTACATTTATATCACACTTTCTAACAAACTGGTAAAGAAATTTGTGTATCTGAGTCTGATCATATTAAATTTTCAATGTGATGATTAATCTAGATTCTCATAACAATTATCATAGATTAAAATGAGTCTTCTGAATGATGTTTAAAATCAGCAAGATCAAACATTTATTGCCTAAATAATTTCACAGAAATAATTTCTAGGGTAGATTTCAATCTGATTCAGAAATTATAGGCTAGGTCAAAGGCTAACATCTATAATATTTATTATGCTTGATTATATTAATAAAATATTAATATTCTGGGTAATATATATATATTATATATAATTAGTGAGTACTTTATGTATCAATTAAAAAATTCTTCATTCTTTCTCATACTCTTAGCATGCATTTAGAATATATTTTAGGAGGTAGAAAGCAAGGGTTTGAAGAGGCTGATAAAAGTTAGTACAATCCATGCAAATGTAAAAGAGCAGTGACAAGAGAAAGCTAGGTTCACACAAAAAGCCTGTTAGACACTCTGCATTCTCTGGTGAAAATTAATAATTTTTACCCCATCATGAGGCCACTTAAGGTGAAGACAGCAAAAGTAACCTGCCACATTTGTCAGAAATGGACATAGTTTCAGACTTGCTTTATCATGTATTGAGTCTAATAATGCATGTTTAATATCATGATCTGTCTTTTACTAGAAGGTTTTTGGGCTTTAGTCACAAATGCATAAAATCAACAGGAGTAGCTGATGTAAAATGTCTGTTTCTGTATGTTTCTATATATACATATGTGTGTATGTGTGTATGTATATAAACATGTATATGCATGTTTGTGTCCTTATAGTCTGTGTTTATCTCTCTGTATGTGTGTATATAAAACCCATATTGTGTTTACATATGGGAGAAAGACATTTTAATATACATAATTTTATTGATGTATTTACATACTACAAGAAATATTATTTGGATATGTATGTGGATATGTATGTGTAGTCATTCCTTTATCATGTTATTGATCCTGAGGTGTATGTTTTTTTTTTTTTTTTCCAGGGGGAAATTCATTTAGTTCACTCAAAAAGGCAAAAAATACATTGGCCCAATAATTTCAAAATAAACAATTTAAAAATGTGCTCCTAGCACTAACAGGATCACAATGAATAAAAATAAAAGATGCATAGCCAGATGGGAAAGAATCTCCCAGATTTGTAGTAAGGTCAGGATCCTCATAAAAATACTTTTATTTCTTACGGGTATAATCCTAAAAGGCAGTATCCCATGGTGACTTAGAGCAAAGACATTGGAGTCAAGCAGTCAAGGACTCTACTCTGGCCCTTATTCCTTTGGCGTATTCCTTGCACTGAAACTTAATTTTCATAACTCTATGTGTGTGTGACAGTATACATACCACATAATTATTTTAAGGATTAAATGAGATTCTGTAATATAGAAAAATATTAATAGAAAATGTTAAGCACTGTTTGGATTACAGTAATTAAAAATAAAATGGGAGCACCTCGGTGGCTCAGTCAGTTGATTAAAAAAGTCAGTCAGACTTTGGCTCAGTTAATGATCTTGCCATTCATGAGTCCCAGCCCCCAATTGGGACTCTCTGCTGTCAGCACAGAGCCTGCTTCCAAGCCTCTGTCCCCTCTCTCTATCCCTTCCCCACTCACACTTGCAAGCTCTTTCTCTCTCTCAAAAAATAAACATAAATTAAAAATAATTTAAAATTAAAATTAAAACCTAGTGTTTAGTGAAAATTTACCATTCAGTTAGCACAATTTATTTACATTTTACATGGGTAATCTCATTTAATGCAGTTAATAACCCTTACAGATAGGTATTGTCATTAGATTTTACAGATGATGATTATGGGTTTTAAAATTTGAATCCCTTGTTCAGGGTCATATGCTTAACAAATGACAGTCAGAATTTGAAATCAGTTTACTTCTAGAACTGGTGTGTTTAGCCAATTCCCTGTTGACAGTCAATCAAGTTAGCCACAATTCTTATCATCATTATTATTGTATTTATGTGAAAAAGGCTATAATTATCCATTAGGATTTATGTTAGTTCTTAGGAAGTATTTCTCAAATTGTCTCTGCTCAGAGATTTGTACTTGTCTAATGTTACTGAATTCATGTTGTAACAGATACTAATATCTTTATTCAAAATAAAAAAAAAGAAAAAGAAAAATGAAAAATAAATTAAGATCACAATAGAAGTTTGATTCCCGTATGCTTGTGTGAATGGCTCTCAGAAAGTTTCCTGATTTTATCTCCTATTGTTCAGAAAAATATTCTTAAAGCTATGAATTCCTAAAGATACCATGATATGAGACATCTAATGTATCAGCCACTTTGTCCTGCAAAACTTTTGGGACTTCTTATATTGTCTCACCAAAGCTTTGCCTGAAATAACACTTTGATGTGCTATTCATAATTTCCATTTGGAAGAAGTAACTACATATTCCTGCTTAGCTACCATACTGCTTCCAGTATAGTGTACTTCAGTAATAAATAAAATGCATGCTTTAAGTGAAGGTATACATTTTTTCAAATATATAAGTCCCTGGCATATTTACAGACAGCATGACAGAATATTCATGTTGTTGTTTAATGACCACACTCACTTCTTTGTAGGAGCAATTTTTGATGAATCTGCCAAAAAGGATGATGAGGTGTTTCGCACAGCGGTTGGTGACCTCAACCAGAATGAAGAGATCTTACAGACTGAGAAAATCACATTTTCAGTGACATTTGTCGATGGCAACAACCCTTTTCAAGCAGTTCAAGAAGGTAAGGCCTATCAGCAGTCCAGTTTTTATTTTGTTTGTTTTTTGGTTCAATTCAGATGGCAACTAGATTTATTTACAAATCAACATGGATGTCATTTTTGCATCTTTGCTGCATTGCTTTTCTTTGAGGGTGCTGTTTTGTAGATATCAAGACTGAATTCCACTTCTGAAAGGACAGAGTATGGAAAGTTTTTGTTTAGTTGAAGTATATGTGAAAATGCATATAAATATTTTCAGTAAAAGCTTTACAGCATTTTATGATTTCAGTGTAAAGTAAACATTACTTAAAAGTATGACTTTCTATCCAAAGTTTTAGTTTTGACTTTTTTGAGATAATGGCCACCTTGAGTGTTGTTACAGCATAGAATGACATTTCAGGTGTATTCATGACAAATGCATTGGCGGAAAGAAAACTGACTGGTAGGCACTAAATACAAATCAAAGGCTTCGCTTTGGGATCCTAACATATACATTTTTTACTCTCTATAGTGTGCCAAATATTAAATCATTTGTCTCCATTCTTTCTGTATACTTGGGTGAATTAAATTTTTTCATAGGGACAAATCATACAAATACAAATTATTTTTATTATACTGGGATGATCATTTGTATGAATGAAGGTTTTGATCGAAAGGTATCTAAGAGTAATAGAATTTTATTTTTGATGCTGTTATTCTAATGAAATAGCCTCTTGATTGGCAAAGCATTACTTGTTCATGAAACTATTTGTTGCTGACCTAGTTTACATTTTATTGTGATAATATAATTAGACTAAAGATACCAATGCAAAATTTAATCAAATGAAGCACTTGTTTCATTAAGAAACTTAAAGAGGATTTGACAGAAGTAAAGATGGACAGAATATTAAAAGTGGTAGAGTTTGACAAGAAACTTTTTAAAGACAAATATTGAAAGGGTAAGGAAAATAAATATAAGTATTTTCAAAAAATTGTCATTTTCCTCTAACGTTGCATCTACATGATGTTCAGTTTCCTTCTTAATAATTTGATGGAGTGAAGAAAATATTTTAATGAAATGAACAGAAGTGTTTTACTAAAATATTATTTTGCAAAGAATATGATGCTTATAATAATATGGTATTTTAATGTTTAGTAAGTAAGTGTCAATTTAAAAAGATTAATGAAAACATCTAGTCATTTATATTTTAAAATGAGAATTCTGGGAATTTGGTGCCAACAAAAATGGATGTGCTGATAAATTTTCTATTGAAACATGTAAAAACTAATATTACAATTCATAAAGCAGTAAGTAAAATAATAAAGCAGAATATGCGGAAAATCCAATAATGAAAAAGAGTATTATTCATTCAACTATTAGTTTTAGTGACTGGAATGAGGGTAGATAAAAAATGAGGACTTATTTATTTTTTTATCTGTCTTCTGATTACATATTAATAATTGTAAATTAACTTTGAAGACAGGCTAATGTATCAATTATCAATTCGTTTTAAAAAAAGCACTTTGAAAAGTGTGGAGATAAAGATACAAAGACAACACAGTGGTAGAAGAGAATTACAAAGTGTGAATAAATATGTCCCTCACACCTTTTTTAGAGACTCCAATTTGAAAAGCAAAGACAATTTTTTAAAATACCACAGTGAATCTGTTCACATATTACATTGTGTAGCCGCTCTGCTGCCAGCTCAGTTCTGGAAGCAGAAACATCCCTCAAAAGAACTACTGTGACATGACGAATTTGTGATACTGAAAGCAAATTGAGAATGGAAATAAGTTTTAAGTTTTGGAGACAGAGACCACTAGATATTTGTCAAGAAAGAAGAAAGAGGTTGACAGTTTGCCTGATGTTTTCTGATGGTAACAGGATGTTCTGGACCAGTTATTTTGATCGTCTGCTCTGTGTAATGAACTTGAAATAAGTTCTAGGAAGCTTTGGAGTTAATTTGCTTCCCCATTCAATATCAAGAAAGATCTTGGCTAATTTTACAAATAAAAATAATTCTTTCTAGAGCTCTTTCCATAATTTATTAGTTTGAAAAAAGGAGGAAAATATTCAACTGAAAGAGAACAAGAAATAATCAAAGGGGTATTTTCTCAAATGTTTTGAGCAAGTGATTTAGGATAAAACCTCAATTGTGCCATTAAGGATGTCCAGTTTTTCTATGATCATATATTTGCTGTGATGCCATTAAAATATATAACATAAAGGGTCTTAAATTAGTTTATTTGTTTTTTTAAATTCCAAGAAAGGATAACAGATTCAATGATATAAGTATTACTGACTGTTTATACATGAAGTTTTTAGAAGTTCATCAGGAAACAAATCTGAAATGCTCATTTTATTTTAGTGTGAGAATTTCCTCCAACCAGATGCATTTAAGAGATGATCTTTATTTTTACAAATTTAATTTTTTTCTTTATCTTTCTTCTATAAGCATTTAATGAGAGAAAGATTTAAAGATAAACAGCCTGTTAACACATAAACAGAATTACAATATTGATACCATTATAATGCTTCTTTGTAGCTCTGGTTAGAGTAAATTTTTGCATAGTAATAATTATTTTTAATAATAAATATTTAATGGTTGTTTTTACAGTGAGTTCCCAAATGACAATGTCTTGGTTGTAACACAGGATCAATATTTCTTTCTCTGGAGATCAATGATTATATTGATTATCTTTATCATTATCCTGTAACAATCTCAGCACTTGTAGATAAATGAACAGTAGAAAAAAAATTCCTGTTTTTAGAAAAATAATCTGGAATCAAACAACCTATTTTAATAATTCTTTTTCCTTTTTTTGAATATATTTATTGATAATATTTTGAATATATTTTCAATATATTTGTTGATAAGCTATTATTCATCTTTTGTCTGTTGAGTCATGGGATGTTTACTAGGGGCAAAGAATTTTCCACACCTTAACTCAGGATTATTTTTATCATTTTTTGGGTGTGGAATAGGTAGGCTTATTGGTAGCTGGGGTAAAGCTTATTCTCTAAAGAAGATACACAAAAGAAAAAAACTGTATGGTGTATTTTTGAAAACCTCAAAAATTATAGAGGTGGAAAATGGTATACACCTAGTTGAATGTTTTTCCTTAATATATGAAGTAATTGAGAGTAGTGTGTTCAAGTAATTCTCCTACATACTGCAGGTGTGTAGCAAGAGACTAAACCAAGACCTTCTGACCACTAGCCTAATATTTTCCTTGCTATATCTGTTAACCACATGTACGTGAGAGAGAGCACACAATGCGTTATAAGACTTCACTAAGTATTTTGGAAAATATAAAGTTCTGGCAGATTTATATGTTTTGATACATACTATTAATGTTCATAGGTTTCAGATAGCACGGAATAGTAAAAATCTTCCAATCTAGTTGAACAATACCAGCTGATTCTATAAATCACTCTTGTTCTTTCATCCTTGGTCTTCTCATCTATAAATAATGAAAAATCAAACATAAATGATGTATTTTTTAAGATTAGTTTATTCTCTATGGATGAAATGTTTCATGACTCTTTAGAACACATTTCCAGATTTAGAAATTTAGGATTCTAGAAATGATAATTATTTAGTTTCTCTTTAGAGATGCTGCACATTGCTGAAATTGCCCCCTAGTTTTTTTCTATGGCTTACTTCAAAATAAATTAAATATCTCAGCCAACTATTCACTGTGACCCAAGGAACTCATTGCTATCACCAGAATCCAGAAAGGGTCTTTTGCAGATTCAATTGACCTGGATCAGTGCAGCTGTTGCTAGATTACTTTCCTTACTCCTCTCTTATAGATTGTTTCCTTTCTGTCATCTATAAACTGGATAAAACATAGATACACAACGGTGTGGTGTGAAAGACACTGCTTTTCTCTACCGAAAGCAATAGCAATTATTTGTATTGTTGTCTTCTAGTTGAGACCAACACCACTTTGCTCCAAGAAAGATCAGGACTTATAAGAAAACAAGGCCAGGAGAAAGTAAAGGGAATGCATTTGTAAAAATGTTCACATAGGAAGTTGAAATGTAGACGTAAAAATTCATGCATAATTCTTGCATCCATTGGATGTATCAGCAAGAATATAAAGGACCATGTGTTGGTATTGAATGGCAAGATTCAGTTAAAAACTTTTGAAATATTTGCTCTTATTAGAAAAACACCTAAAAATGAAATATATAGTGAAAAGAGTTTAAGGGCAGAATTATGCTTTAGAATCACAGATGATTCTATTTGAAAGAAAAGGAGGGACATATCATAATTATTCTTCCGTATGCTTTATTGTAAACCATTATAAATAATATAGTTATAAAAGCTGTTTTTCATATAAAAATCAGTAATAGTTAAGATTGCTCGTCATCTAAGTCTCAGTCTGGTCCACCTTCGACTTACTCCTTTGTATACCCAACATGAATATTGATTGCTCCAAAAAAAAGTCTCTCATAAAAAGTAGACATCTTATTTTAATACAGTAATGATTTCAGTTAAATTTGCTTCATACATCTTCCAAAATAAAATTATTTTAAGTGTAAAACAATGTGGTGCTTTTATTTATAGTTTATGAAATTAGACTTATTTCTTTACAGTTATATGTAAGAGACACATGCATCTGTATCGTGTGTAAAAGGGAAAACAGGAGAGCAGTAGAAGCAAAAACAGTGTAAGGAAATCTAACTAGGAAAATGTGCTTCTCCAGAAAATATCACCATTCACTGTGAATATTTCTGGTGCCATAGGCTAAATCTGGGTAGTCTTGTTCAAAGAGTACGTAAATGTAAAAGAATGATTTATATGGCTGTTCTATTTGATGCTTTATTCCAAGGCTTAGTCTCATAATTTATATTCCTCTCAGCTTTAATAGGACATCTTTACTGTGATAAAAAAAAAATCTGCTAATTTGGAAATGTTTAGATTGGATTCTGCAACTTTCCTAGTATAAGTCTGCAGTGTGTATGTCTTGTCAGCCTGTGTTTTCGTGGACCAATTTTGACAGCTTCAATTCCAGCTTATTTTCTGAATTACGT